TCTCTCTCTGCTTTCATGAATAAATAAATAAAATCTTTAAAAAAAAAAAAAAGATTTTTTATCTGAGAGAGAGCACGAGTGGGCAGTGGGGAGGAGCAGAGGGAAAGAGAATCTTAAGCAGACTCCCGGCTGAGCAAGCGCTGAGATCACTGCCCGAACCAATACCAAGAGTCCAATGCTTACCCAAATGTACCACCCAGGGTCCCCTGAGCTTTTGGATCTTTAAGGAACAACACAACTGTCTGGGTTATGCCATTCCCATGGTTTCTATTCTTGGACTAAAATTTCCATTCTTGGAGTTTGATATGGACACTCGACTATCAGCTTATATTTAATAAATCATCATCAAGAGAAACACCGTGTGACAACCGTTTTCTAAGGTGTCCTAATGGGGAAGATTTGCTTATTACTTTTTAATTTTTTTTTTTTTTTAATTTTTAGTAGGCTCCATGTCCTATGTGGGGCTTGACCTTATGACCCTGAGTTTAAGAGTTGCATGCTCTATTGACTGAGCCAGCCAGGCACCTCAAGATTTGCTCATTCTTAATGCTTCCAGTGACCACTGCTGCAGCTTCGGAGCGGGGTGCCAGGCAGAGGCTGGGGGCGTTCTGAGGTGTAGCTAGAATCAGGGAGGCTAAGGGAGAGTCTGGTGAGGACTCAGAAGGAAAGAGCGGAGAAAGCCTTTCTTCTCAGAAAAGCTCTAAGCCTTTGTGAACAGAATTGGGTAGATATGAGGATGGTAAAGGCTATTCTGGTGCGGTCTCAGAAGAAGTGAGGAATACGTTATTGGAAATAGGAGATAAGGGGCGCCTGGGTGGCTCAGATGGTTAAGCGTCTGCCTTCGGCTCAGGTCATGATCCCGGGGTCCTGGGATGGAGCCCCGCATCGGGCTCCCTGCTCAGCGGAGAGTCTGCTTCTCCCTCTGACCCTCCCCCCTCTCATGCTCTCTCTCTCACTCGCTCAAATAAATAAAAATCTTAAAAAAAAAAAAAACAAAAAACAGGAAACAGGAGATAGGTGATCCTTTTTGTAAAGTGGCACAAAATTTGGCTGAATTATATTTATGTCCTGAAGTGTTTTGTGGAGGGCAGAACTTGCCAACAACGGGACTGGATTCTTGGCTGAAGAGATCTCTAAGCCAAGTCGGGAAGGTGCGGCTGATAGGAAAGTGCAAGAGAGAAGTGCCTGAGAGATGGAAGTGTGAAACAAAGAGGAAACAGAATTTTAAGATTAGGAAAATGTTCAGCCTATGCATACTGCAGAAAATGAGGACACTAAGGGTGTGGCTAAATGGCTGAGGAGATCAGTATGGACAGAAATCAGGCAGTGGGAGAAGGACCCCAAAGGCAATCAGGTCAGGGCTGCCCTCCCATCACAGGCCGGAGTGGAAGGTGGAGGGGGTTGGGGGCCCCAAGGCCTCCACGGGGTTTCCAAGGCCAAGGCTGCCTGGAGGGCAGAGCACTGAGCCAAAGAGGATTATTCCTGAGCCTTAAGGTCTAACGTCATTTGCCCTGCTAGGTTTTAGGCTTGTCTGAGACCTGTTATCCTTCCCTTTGTTCCAATTTCTCCCTTTAGAGGGGAGTGGCAATCCTATGCTGTCGCCCAGCATAGTATTCTGTTTTCACAGGCTCACAGCTGGAGGAGACTTGGCCTCAAGCAGAACCATAGCTGGAATCCCAGCCAGACCTCATCAAGATGAGATTCAGGAGAGGCTGTGGGCTTGGGAGGGTTTTGGAGTCGGTGCTGGAGCAGTGGGAACGTTCAGGCTGTTGGGATGGAATGAATATATTGTGCATGTGAGGAGAACATGAATTGTGGGGGGTGGAATGTTACAGGGTGAATGTCGGTGTCCTCCAAAATTCCTAGGCTGCAGCCGAACCCCCAGTGTGATGGTATTTGGAGGGGGTCTTTGGGAGAGGGCCGTGTAGAGGACTAATGAATATTAGTGCCTTCAAAGCAGAGGCTCCAGGGAGCCCCCAGCCCCTTCCGCCCTGAGAGGACAGAGCAAGAGATGCCATCTATGAAATCGGAAGCAGGTCCCCCGCACGCTGAATCCACCAGTGCCTCCAGAACTGTGAGAAACCAAGGCCTGTGGGCTACAAGCCGCCCAGCCTGGGGTGCTCGGTTACAGCAGCCACGAAGGACTGAGAGAGCAGCTTTCAAATCTTTTCCTTCAATCTCAAAGGTCCAAAAGAACTGTGATAAAAGTAAAAAACCATTCCTTCAATATCTTATTCAGTGATTACTGAAGTGTGTTTCCAGTGGGCCCAAGAAGATACTATACACTAGGCAAGAAATTTATCTTGGTTAGGGGTGCCTGGGTGGCTCAGTCGGTGAAGCGTCTGCCTTCAGCTCAGATCCTGATCCCAGGGTCCTGGGATCGAGTCCCACATTGGGCTCCTGGCTCAGCGGGGAGCCTGCTTCTCCCTCTGACCCTCTCCCCTCTCATGCTGTCTCTCTCTCTCTCTCTCAAATAAATAAATAAATAAAATCTTTAAAAAAAAAAAAAAAAAGAAAAGCGGTACAAGAAGTATCCGATGACTATGGAAGATAAAGTCAGCACATGAGAACCATGAGAGCCGACCGGCTGGCTCTGTCGATGGAGCATGTGACTCTTGACCTCGCGGTTGTGAGTTTGAGCCCCACATTGTGTGTAGAGATCACTTAAAAATAAAAATCTTTAGGGAAAAAAAAAAGAACCAGCTCAGAGATGGAGGCACTCCTGTGGAAAGAGCCCAGGTTTAGTCCTCTATGAAGCACATAACCCGATTTCTCCTCTGACTTTCATGAGTTTTATATATATATATTTATCAATCAATCAGAGAGAGAGAGAGAGAGAGCACAAGCAGGGGGAGCGGCAGGCAGAGGGAGAAGCAGGCTCCCCACGGAGCAAGGAGCCCGATGCGGGACTCGATCCCAGGACTCTGGGATCGTGACCTTAGCCGAAGGCTTAACCAGCTGAGCCACCCAGGCGCCCCTTTCATGAGTTTTTAAAGCAGCCACCTTAAGACACACACCTAACATGCGCACATACACATTCCGTGTGGGCACATGAGCACACGTGTGCACAGACGCCCTCACTGGGGCACCTTTGTTCGCTCCCAGGTGGCGCTCAGAGTGAGGGCTCACAGACCTGCACCATTCCCTCACCTCGCTTCCAGCGTGAGCCTGGCCTTCACCCTGAGCCTCACCTCACAGACACGCCTGCATCCAGACTCGCCAGGCCTGGTGCTGACCCCCAGCCCGAGGCGCTGTGCCCTTTCCTGACACACTGTCCCTTGGTGTCTGAGGCTCTCTTCCTGCTCGCTCCCGGTCCCTGTTCTCATGGCCTCTGTGGTGCCCCTTTCTCACTCACCCTCCCACGGCCAGTCTTTACTCTCTTCTCCATCTGTCCCTACCCTCTCCGCCCTAGGAGACCTGCACGCACAGCCTGTTTGCTCGCATGCTGATGACTATCTACCTGTGCCCCCCCCCCTCCAGGCACAAATCCCCACAGGTCGTCATCTCCTGTGGGACGGGCACGGGACTCCGGCTGGCACTGGGAGATGGCCCCCATGTGCTGGACTCTGACACTAAGAGGTGCCCCAACCCATGACACCCACGACCGGGCTGGTGCCCTCACTTGGTCTTGCCATGACAGTAGGGTCACACGCAGCCTCCTGTCAGCAGCAGGAACGGCTGCTCACCCCACTGCTTAAACCAGAATTTCAGGTGGAGCTGTGGGTGGCAGGCTGGGCTCCCCTGACCCACCTCCTACCCTCCCAGCCTGCTGCCTCTGCCTGAACGCCCCTTACCAACCCCACGTGGCCAATTCCTCAAAGATGCCTGCCGGCCGGAGCAGCCCAGCCACTCACCCTTCTTCTCTCATCAGAGGAGACTCTGTCCTGTAGCCCACACACCACGACGCTACACGCACTGGGTGTAGCCAACTGCCCCCAAGCCGGGCACACAAAGGCACTCCCTACGTACTTGTGAGTGGCCAAACGCATGAGAAGCACGCAGTCTCGCAGGGCGAATGTCAAGTCCTCCAGGGCGAGAATCTTGGTCTGTGCTGCTCAAGCTACCCCCTCCCCCAGTGTGGACAGCGGGGACTGACAGATCGCTGGCACCCAAACGTTTGATGAAAAGCTGAGAGGGATCCCAGTGGAGCTTTCCTCATGAGGGTTATCAGACCAAAATGAACTCGCACATCAATAGGTCCCTTCTCAAGGGCGAGCCCAAGCCATCAGGCCCCTGTCCTGTCCACTTTCCCTTTGGTGCGTTCAAGATCACAACCACCTCCCTCCCCAGTTCCCCGGCCCCGGCCCTCCCTCCTCACGGCCCCTTCCTGCACCTCTCTTCACCCCAAAAAAGCACACCGGCATTGAGTCCTGGAGAAACCCAAATGAACTCGCTCACAGAACAGGGCTGCCAGTAGGTCTGCAATGCTCCATCCGCCAGCTCGACCCCACCTTGTAGGACAGCCCACAGACGTCTCGCACACTGCTTGGCTAAGAACGCTCACACACAGCTGCCCCTGATGCCCTGCCCTCTGGTCACTCCGGTCAGGGCACGGACCTCCTTTCTAGCCTCCCCCCAGCAGTGGGACTGTGCCCCCAGGCAGTCCGCAGTTGTGACTCTGGTCGGTCTTGCAGAAGCCTCGGCGGCAGCTTCCGTTACATAAACACACTAGTTCGTCGTATGTGGTGACAGGGGGCCAGTGGTCAGCTCTGATGGACTCACGTGTGCTTCCGGTGGAATTCTAAAATCTTTTCAAGAGAATGCTCCTGACTGGGCAGGTACTCATTGGCTTTGAGGTGCTCTCGGTCCAGGGTTTCATCATAATCTCCTATTTCAGCTGAAATGAGACAGTAACAGTATTCTTCAAATAAAGAAAAATACAAGCATTCGTACATGCAAATGCATGAATTAAAAGTAGAAAAAAATTATCCTAAATCTGTAGTAAAAGCATATATCCCTCAAATAAACAGGATTTTGTATCTTATTTTTCCACATATCTTAAGCTATTAAAGGCAAATATAAAGCCAGGTAAAGAAGCTTCATTCTGAGTTCTGAAGAACAAAGATGCTGGTGAGTGACTCCAGGGAGGCCACCAGTTTATCCTGAGCGGTTTGTTGTGTCTTAAACCACGCTTTATTCGTCTGCAGTCTCAAGACTGTTGTAGCCAGGAATAGGTATCTTATTTTATTTGTTTCAGGATAACGTATTTGAAATCATTTTTTCCCTCAGGGCCTCTCAAATTCTTGAGGAACAATGTCTCTCTCTAATTTCATGAATCTTGAGGCAACTCATGTTTCAAGAGTCATAGTTAAAGCCCAATAACCTTAAACGATACACTTCTTTTTTGTTTTGAGACAGCCTCAAATTCACAGAAAGTTGCACGCGGTGCCCCACTTTAGGGACCAGGACACTCGCACCCACAAGCGCAGCGCCCGCCTCACAGCAGGACAGGACTCTGCCCCACTGCCGCGTCTGCGCTTCCGCAGCGGCTGCGTGTCCTCTGCAGTCAGACAGCCCAGCTCAGAGGCACCCCTGCGGGGTAGGCAGCACGCTCGGGAAAGCGACAGTCCCAGAGGTGACTGTGACTGCACTCGAGCCCTCGAGCCCTCGAGCAAGTGGCTCTGGGGCACGACCGTTCACACTGGAAAGCCATCCGTCTCTCTGAGAGGACTGCAGATCCAATAAATAATCAGTCCCACCGACAACGTACATTAACAAGAGCCGACAAGGCCCCTAGTGCAGGATGGCAAATCTACGATGAAACTTTCTTTCTGTAGGTGCGTATGTGTGGGGGGAGGGGGGACAAGGAAACCACAAATTAACCTGCATACGTTCTTAGTTGCTACGATTCCTAAAACTTTCTACATTATACTTGCTGTGCTCAAACTTTCAGACACATTAGTTCTGTGCCAGGGGGACTCTAGTCCAGCAGCAGCGTGTTTCCCTTTCCTGGTCAGCTGGGGGCTTCGCAAGGCCCGGGCAAGGCATGCCCTGCTTTCAGAACCTCTTCCCACGCTATAATTCTTCCTGTTCTTCTGCGCCATCCCTTGCTCTGTGTGACATACTGAGAAATGTGTTCTTTTTTCTCAGGGTTTGATACCTAACTCATCACCAGGGGGGCTGTGACATGCACACCAGGGAGGTCTCTTTCCAGGGGTGCTGAGGGTCAGGGCTACCATTTGGCTCCCAGACTGAAGGCATTTATGGGAAAATGCGAGAAGGCACAAAGGAGAGACATTCCCAAAAAACGTGTGTGGCTGCCGATCTTGGCCTTAAGCCTTTCTTTCTGGGTGGAGACTGTTTGCCTCAAGGATCTCCACCTTGTAGATGTTAATCTTCAGCTTATCAGAGAAAATGGGCCTCTGTTCATCATCACGCTCGTTAACCTTGAAGGCACATCAGGTGCTGGTGGTCAGGAGTGTTGCACACCTCTGACCGTGTGCACCTCTGCCCAGGGCGGGGAGATACTAACACTGTAGAAGGTGGGATGCCAAAAGGGCGGCCGTGGTATCCGTGCAGGGCAGGCGCTCCTCCAGGAGGTCCCTCTTAAGTTGCAAGGCAAACAGGTATCTAGAAGGGAGTTCAAAACACCACAGACATCAACTCCAAAGGCTCTCGAGCATACCACCCCCCATGTCTCCATCGCAGGAGAGCACAGAGCCCTAGGAAACAGCAGTGACCAGGGACATCAGAGCAGATGGTGAGCAAAGGCCAAGTGACCAAAGGAGGCCCTTTGCTGGTGGCAGCTCAGTGGACAGGGTCACGTGCAGTAGTCCACACACACAGGAGCACTCAGACGCTGGCCTTCCAGACACACCACACCTTTAAGGGAAGCTCACAAATTCATATTACTTCTGTTACACACACAAAACTGCACTCAACAATTCTGCTGTGAAAGAGCAGAAATATCCAATTAAGATATAGATTAAAATGCGGCTCTGAGAGTTACAGGCAGATTGAGGATACTTGGTCCTGGCTAGGATCTGAGAAACAGGCACTCCTGAACGGTAAGAAAGGCAATATGAATGTATTCATATATTCATTTATTCCATCAACAAATAATTACTGAGTAAGTATTGCATTCCAGGTACTATTTCTGGAGTTGGAAGTACGATGCAAGACAAACTCTCTCCTTGTGGGAATTTATACTCTAGAGTGAGCTTACAATTGAAATGTGCCTACCCTTGAACTTAGCAATTTGGCTTTTATGAAGCTTTCCTGGAGAAATATTTTCCAGAGTTTACAAAGCTATGTGGGCAAGGCTGTTTACTTGCAGCAATACAGCAGAGAAATAGCCTAAGTATGCACGGACAGGAAGAGTTCAATAAAGTAGATTATAGCACACACATTGCTGCAAAACATCCACGGCACGCTACGACATGTGGGTAAAAAACAAAACAGGAGACAACCACCTACAGGACTAAGGGTATAGTGATACTGCTCTGTAAAATAATTTCTTTAAAGACCTGGGTCCACTTGTATATTGCTATGAATTCATCTGGAAGACACACCTCAAGTGGTACTTCTGGACACAATGCAGTGGGCAGACAGTGAAGAGGTACATTCACTTTTTACATAGCTTTATTTTGAAGTTTCTCTTCTTTTATCATAAACAGTACATTTTTCTTATAAACAAACAAAAAAGGAACTTCTGCATAAACATGGCTTGGACCCAGGACCCAGAATTAGGTAATACTTCCTATTCCTTGTTATCTTCCAAGTATATATATTTAAAAGTTATTCCCTCAAAAAGGACTTTTGGTAAACATCAGGTACGTGATACACTATGAAGATGAGTTCTGTGTTTACTCTTAAAAACACTTTTTCCTGTCGTTGGGGTTCAGTCTTGTTACCCATCAAATGAGGGGCTAGACTAATGGGATACCAACATTTCCCTACGGCTGACAGTCTGTGATTTTGTGATGCTACAAGGCTCTACAAAAACCTTCCGAAGAGAGGTTCATAAGATGCCTATGGTTCAGGTAGGAATCCATTTTTAGTCAGAAGGACTGTTAATGCTAGTTCCCTTTTATCTTACATCTGATCTTGAGTTTTGAGTTGGTACATAAAACACAAGGAAAAAAATTTCCATAACCTGTTGCCCAGATGAAACAACTGTAAACATTTCTTTCAGTTACTTCTGCCAAGAAAGAAATTACCTAAAATATTTCTGCTCCATATATTCATAAAGACTCTCCAACTCAGTACTTCTCACAAATCTGTGCTCAGCTGGAGACTAGCACTTTCACAATACACTAACACATACTCCCCCCTTTTTGTCCCCAAATTTCACCATAAACCCTTTTCTAAGCTCTACTGGCATTTGTGTTTGTGCAGGAGTTAACTGCTTTTTTTTTTTTTAAAGATTTTTATTTATTTATTTGAGACAGAGAGAATGAGAGAGACAGAGAGCACATGAGAGGGGGGAGGGTCAGAGGGAGAAGCAGGCTCCCTGCCGAGCAGGGAGCCTGATGCGGGACTCGATCCCGGGACTCCAGGATCATGACCTGAGCCGAAGGCAGTCGCTTAACCAACTGAGCCACCCAGGCGCCCTTAACTGCTTCTTTTAATACTACACGTTGATCACACCTTCTATGTGTGTTGCAGCTTCATTCATTCTAGGAATACATATATCCCAGAGCACCTCATGAGCCAGGTGCTGCGGGAGACACAGGTGAATTCTAGACCCTGCTGACAACAGCTGTGCTTCAACAGGGGCTCTTTACCTTGTATATTCTTCCTGCAACTGACCCGGATCAGGTGGGAAAAATTTCACTGCTAGACGAAGCAATGCGTTTTTTGGCCCTGTGAGAAGAAACATTTTATTTATTAAAAAACTTTTTTTTTAAGGATTTTATTTGTTTGACACAGAGAGAGAGAGAGCACAAGCAGGGGGAGCGGCAGGCAGAGGGAGAGGGAGAAGACTTCCTGCTGAGCAGGGAGCCCGATGTGGGGCTCGATCCCAGGACCCCGGGATCATGGCCTGAGCCGAAGGCAGACGCTCAACCGACGGAGCCACCCAGGCATCCCTGAAAAGAAACATTTCAAACTTGACAAGTAAAGTCAATCTCACTATTTTTTCAAATCTTTATATACTTTAGTGAAAGAAAAACGTCAGCACTCACTGTACTGAACCAGAACAACCTGATTACTGGAAAGAAAAAGCAGAAGGTGTTGGCTCATCTGAGCATCTCCGCTTCACTGAAATTTTTACAACACAGCTGTGTAATTTTCACCAAGCAGGAAAGAGGAGGTGTTGTCCTACAGGGCCACGATGACCTAAATGGCCTTAGGCCACCAGTGACTAACAGGGCTACTAGCAACCATCCTTCTCTCTCACATGGGATCAGACTGCAGGTGAATCTGGACCCCTGGATGGCACCCTGTAACCAAGAGGCATTACTATGTGCCCCAATTTTTTAAAATTTAATGGAGACGAACAAAAATTATGTTTATAATTACAAAACAGTATAAACTGTTTTATTAAACATGTAATTAAATTGTGTCAACTATACTCAAAAATAATACCACAAAAAATAAAGTTTTAAAAATTGTTAAAAAAAATTAAGAAGCTAATTAAAGGAAGAACCTCAATGCCTTTTTATAACTTGGGGGGAGAAACTGCATACTTATTTTTGCATATTGGCCAACAATTAAGTGACATATCCAAGAGCATATCCTGTTACCACTGCGTTTGAGAACCAGTAAGTGTTCGCAGCTGCCGCAGGCTGAGACTAAGCAGCAAAACAATCTCCAAGTTCACGCGCCGCTGGCAATCACCTCACTGCTCCCCAGGGTGGGGACAATGAACATCTGGACACACCTCCAATTTGAACAGTCAAGAACAAAAGCATCTTAAATGAACAGAATTCTAAAGAGTTTAAAAAAAGGACTTACTTCGTACTTGCCTAACGATGGGCTTCATAGGTTCCAGCCAAATCTAAAGAGGATTTAAGAAGAGAGATCAAATCCATTCAATGATTTCTCTATTTAATAACTGCTACAAAATACAGAACTGTTTATAACTAGGAGAGATATTTAAGGTGGGGCCCGTTTTGGCCTCTGCTCACACACCAGTCAAATCCTGACAAAACACCTGGGAGAGGCACAGGAACACCAGCTTCGAGAAGTGTGGGAGGGTGATGAGATGCCACACAGGCCCGGACCCCTCCATTAGGTCACATGCACACTGTTGTTGCTAGGCACAGCACGGGTACCAAGAATTATTTTGGGGGGGCGGCTGTTAAGGCCAAACAAATCTTTGGTACAAGATGCACCTGTAAACAACTAAGAGACAAGAGTGCCCCTGCATGAGTAATGCTGACACACTTATCGAATAGGCTGATTTTGGTTTCTTTCTTTCTTTTTTAAGTAGACTCCACCCCCAGCATGGAGCCCAATGTAGGGCTTGAACTCACAACCATGAGATCAAGACCTGAGCTAAATCAAGAGTCGGACACTTAACGGACTGAGCTACCCAGGCGCCCCTAATTTTGGTTTAAAACAGTTCCACCTATAAATATTAAGTTCCACACTTTTAAAGGTTCATCGATCAAGTAACATGAGGGATAACCAATGAATTTCGTAAAAGTTTGCTCAAAACGATTATCATGCAGATGTCCTAGCGGTTGTTTCTGGATTTCCTTGGCACATGTACTGGTGAGGAGAACAAATTTAGGGAGGGTGGGAACTCAGCTTAGCTACAAGGCCAGTGCGGTCCATGTCTCCACGGTGCAGCTCTAGGAACAGCAATGTGATGAAGCATGGTGCCATATCACTGCAGCGGGGCCTCAAAGGCTCTCTGTGGCCACGTGCATGGTCAGCTCTCAAGAGCTTGCAAGAATAAGGCAAGGACACGTACCCAGTAGGACCGGGGATGCTGAAACTCCAGCCCAAAGTAGTCACACTCCGTCAGGTTCAAGCGCCTCCACACCTGGGTCAGCAACGTCTGGCCATCGCGCTTAGGCTGTGAAGGGCAGGGAGGGGAACACAGGAGGATTACGTGCCTTCCCACAACATGGGTTCATGTAACAGCGTGGCATGACCCGGCCTCCTGCATGTTAAACTCCATCCTACTGAATTGCTGGCTTCACTCTGCCTTCTATAAGGCTTACAAACCATCACAAAGCAAATAAAGAGCCCAAGGCTCTTTGTGCTCAGGAACTGACACTAACATAAAGCTAGACAATTCCTTCAGTCTTATATTCTCAGTTGTGTCCTTAGCCATTTTTTCTTTGTCACTTGAGGCATTTTCGGAATGCAGAACCCATTTTCAGCCTCAGTAAACATTTTATCAAACAATTTGATATTTGCTAAAAAGGTGGGTCTCATACTCCATGTTTGCATAAGATCCAAGTGAATACGTTATTATTTGCTAGCAACACTAGCAAGAAGAGCATGGACTGTTCAAACATGAGGTGGGCAATCGGCTCTCCATTTAGAAGAAAAATGGAGTTAGATCCCTGGTCCGCACTGCTCAAAAAAATAAACTCCAGTGGACTAAAGAATAGAATAAAACAGAGACTATTTCTCCAATCTTGGGGTAAGTAAAGTCTTCCTAAGTATAGCATAAAGACAGATGTGATTAAATAAAGACAAAAAAACTTCTGAGAGAAACAGTGAACAAAGTTAAAATTTAGAATCATACTGAAACAAATTATAATTTATCTTTCGTATTGCTCTTATGAATTGGATGAAGAAATATAAATGGCTTTTAGGCATAGAAAAAGGTACTCAAGCCCTCCAATAAGGAAGTAAATGAAAACAGCGAGGTACCATTTTTCACTTCGGAGGCCTGGGAGAACGACGTGGTGTGGCTGTCACACGCCACCGGGGGAACCCCGATCCATCCTATCTTCTGGGAGCATTTGAAACACCTCCAAAATTTAAAATGTACACATACGTCTTTGCTCCAGAGATTCCACTTCTACAACTTTCTCCTGCAGATATCTCACACAACTGCACAGAGATAAATATGCAAGGACAAATCCCATGACGAACTGATGACATAAACATTACATCCATAGTTGAAACCATGCAACTCCTATCAACTCTGTATGTGCTACCGTGGAATAAAGTCCAAGCCTGACGTTCAGTCAAGAAGGAAAGAAGGTTCCCCTTCTCTCCAGTATCTGTAATAGAATTCCATTTCGTAAGACACTCACACTGCATTTGCCATTTAGTACTGAATGGGGGTGGTGGGTGGGACAAGCACTTTCACTTCTACCTTATTTACTAACTTCTGTAATGCCTAAATTTTTCATCAATGGGCATCTGTCATTTTTTAAAAGATTTTGAGAGAGAGAGACAGAGACAGCAACAGAGATTTCGAGAGAGAGCACGAGAGGGGAGGAGAGGGAGAAGCAGACTCCTCCTCCTGAGCAGGGAGCCCGACACGGGACTTGATCCCAGGACCCCGGGATCATGACCTGAGCCGAAGGCAGACGCTTCACCGACTGAGTCACCCAGGCGCCCCTGGCATCTGTCATTTTTGCAGTGAGAAGATTATGTATGTATGTGGGAAGAAAGGCAAATCTCCATTGTTCCAAAGGATATCATGTTCCTTTAAGTTGAACCAGGAGACTTTCCTGCTGTGTACCCAAGATGTGTTTACGCTCCTAAAACGAGAATTCTTACGTGAAGATACAAATATCTGCACTGTGTTGTGACAAAGAAGCGCGCAGCGAATCACAGCACAATGCGCACCTCACGGGAATGGAAAGGTGGGCTGCAAAGGGGTCCTACACTGACAACACATCTCACAGGGAACAGAAGGGCAAGTCTTCTGGATGTAAGTACTGTAACGTCACCTCTTACCAGGATCATGGTGGGGGCTCACTGTGGGGTGGGGGTGCTGGAAGAGGCACGCTGGGGCTAGCGTGCCCACTGTGCCCTCGGAGAGAAGCACAGGGCTATTTGGACAGATGTGCAGTCAAATCCCCTCAGTGGTGAACTGGTCAGAGATCACGGAAATCATGGAGTCCACTGCAACTCCTCTAACACTAAACACTCGTCCCCAGGAAGCTCTCCCACAGCCATGTCCCCTCCCCCAGACTGGAGGGGTGCGCGGGTGGGGGGCACCACAGGAGGGAACACCCTCACAGTGTGGTGTGCACTGCCCCACACGACCTGGCCTCCCCCATCCAGTGGCGACCTGGATACCCAGTTGCTCCCTCACAGGGACACACCCTCTCCCCCTCTGTCAGTCTCCAGCAGACCCTCTGAGAACCTGAGGAGCTCATTACCTCAAAGGTAAGGTCCCCTTAATTTCAGTCAGCTCCACTTAACTGCCACATCCCTTGGTACTTATCCCTAGCACCATGCTTAGGGCGTTGTTGTTCACCCATCTATTTGGGTGCATTCCTACTACTAGATGGTCAGAGACTGTGTCATCCATCCTCGAGTCTCCAGGACCACCACATGGGTAGGTGTGCCATGGACAGGCCCCAAACATCCACAACCGCTCTGCTGCACTCAAGCCCTCCCCTCTCCTTTTTCAACCGCATGGTCACCCTGTGTGGTGTAATGGTAGGACTAACAGCCCTATGCAAGCCCTCTACCCACAGTTGGTACAGCCTGGGCTTGGTCCAGGAGGCCTGCCCAACTGACTAAGGGATGCTAACGTGTATCAAGTGTATGGACACACAGGGACACATTCACGATGCACCAGCGTCCAAACCAGAACAGGGTTTTTAAAACTGGGCATAAAAATACATTTAATTACGCATTTCTGTTTTAATATACACACATACACACACAGGTATCCATACACACATACACATATGTATGTGTGTTTAACTCCTGGATTGGAGTAAATTTTACTGAAGTAAAAAAGCTTTCCCAAGTCTATTATCCTATGTTAAGGCGAAGAAAAAGAACTTCGTATTCTGTGTCACCTGAAACACATACTGAACTCCTAAAAAAAACAGCAGAATCAGGTGTTTCCACAAACCATGTAGGGACAGACATTTCCAAAGCTATTTAAATTGGTCCGAAGTATGGTGGGTCGTGGTAGTGGTCTCTTCTTAATCTCTTTCTTGAGAAAGAACCCCCAAACTCCATACAAACACACATACGACCCAAAGAGAAAAATTCCAAGTTATAGGTATCAGTGAAAATGTCCTGAGTAAGGGGCCTCCAGGTGGCTCAGTCGGTTGAGCATTTGACTCTTGGTTTTGGCTCAGGTCATGATCTCATGAGCCCCATGTTGGGATGCACTCTAGGCGTGGAGCCTGCCTAAGGTTCTTATCTCTACCTCTCCCTCTGCGCCCAACCCGCCTCTCTCCAAAAAAAAAAAAAAATTGAGTAAAATACCAGCAAACATAATCCAACAACAACTCAAAGATTAATATACCATAACCAAGTAAAATTAATTAAAAAACAGAGGATAATTGAATACAGTATCAGCACAATTATCACTATATCACATCAGATCTGTCAGAAAAAAAAATCCTAGGATTATTCCCAGAATCTGAAAAGCTGAGAAGGCATCTGATAAAATTCAATTTCTACTCTTGATATAAATTTTTTTTAAAAAATATTTTTATTTATTTGACAGAGAGACAGAGAGCGCGCGTGTGCATGTGCATAAGCAGGGGGAGCGGCAGCAGGAGAGGGAGAATCGAACTCCCTGCTGAGCAGAGAGCCCAACAATGGGCTCGATCCCAGCACCCTGGGATCATGACCTGAGCCGAAGGCAGATGCTTAACCGACTGAGCCATCCAGGTGCCCCTGTTATAAATTCTTTTTTTTTTTTTTAATAGATTTATTTGACACAGAGAGAGCGTGCACAAGCAGGGGGAGTGGCAGGCAGAGGGAGAGGCAGAAGCAGACTCTCCGCTGAGCAGGGAGCCGGATGCGGGGCTCAATCCCAGGACCCCGGGACCATGACCTGAGCCGAAGGCAGACACTCAATCGACTGAGCCACCCAGGAGCCCCCTTGATAAATAAGATTTTTTTTTTTTTTTAAAGATTTCACCCATTTTTTGACAGAGAGAGACACAGTGAGAGAGGGAACACAAGCAGAGGGAGCAGGAGGGGGAGAAGCAGGCTTCCTGCCGAGCAGGGTGCCCGATGTGGGGCTCAATCCCACGACCCTGGGATCATGACCTGAGCCGAAGGCAGACGCGTAACAACTGAGCCACCCAGGCCCCCCCCCTTGATAAAAATTCTTAATAGGAAGAAAAAGTGATTCTTTAACATTTAGCAAGACGAGGAGGCCACTCCCAACAGTATACGCAATCACTACTATGTGACACCAACATCAAAATAGAGAAAGAAATGAGACGTAAAAAATCAGAAAGGAAGCAAAACTATCATTATTTGTAGACATGATAATTTACTTTGAAAACCCAAGAACATCAACTAGAAAATTATTATGAAAGAGATAGAATTCAGTTAGGTGGTGGGGGATAAATTTCTATAAATACATCAAAACAGCCTTCACTTACATACAATTAACCACCATTCTCAGGACAGAAAGGAAGAAAACAACCACATTTGTAACAGCCGCAAAAGGGCTGAAGTGTCTTAGAATAAACTTAACAAAAGAAAGCTTCATGGAGAAAGTTTTATGAGAGAAAAAGGGGACCACAGAAGGGGCGTGGAGAGGTGTAGGGCACACGGTTTTCTTGCACACAAACACCCTCACACAGGGGTCAGTGCTCCTTGAATTAAGCCAGATTCCATGTTGTCCTAATAAAAGGATTAAAAGGATTCTCTGAGGAACCTGATAGGCTAATTCTACAGTTGGTATTTTTTTTTTTTTTTTACATCCAAGCATGCCAATGAAAAAGAAAAATAGATGAGGATTAGCCTTACCACATATTCAACCTGTTGAAAACCACAGTAATTAAAATGTTTGGTACTGGTGCCTGTCCACATAGACAAATAACTAGAACAGATTAGGAGATGAAGAAATATACCCAAATATGCAAGTACTGGAGTGCCTGATAAATGTGATATTTC